GCGATTTTTTGCTCTCACGGCGACGTGGCCGTGTGCTTCGTGGCGACCGATGTAAGGCCCCGGAGTTTGTGGTCGGTCGCCTCGTACTACTACTACGTAGGCGCGTCCGTCTGTCTGGGGATCGGGACGTGTCACCTTACAAGCGGCAACAATGACGGAGCGATCCATCGACGTCCGCGGCAGATCGGAAATTTGGATGGGCTCACGGAAGTTTTTCCTTGATCTTTATCGCAACGCGGGTCGCGAGGTAAACTCGGACATTCTTTTCGTGGTTCCAGACCATGATTGTGATTTCGTGGTAAGTTAATAACGATCTGAACTATTCGCACTTTCGCAGTATTGCCGCGCGTGCAAGGAGAAATCGATTTCGGGGCTCGCCGAGGCCGAGGGCACCACTGCTTGAGAGGGCAAAACTTTGGATCAAGTCCACAAATCTGAGTTGGGCTGGCAATACTTCGGATTAAGTCCAAGAACACGCTGCCTCGAGTAGGGCCGGACGCGAGGGCTTATTGGGCTGCACCAATTTGGGCCGGCCGTGCCAGGAATGTGTTGCCTTGTTGGACTGCAGCGTTATATTCCGAAGCAGATCAAATACAACAACGATCTTTACTTGGACAACAGATCGTGAGCACCTTAACAAAACTAGTAATATACCCGTACTAACATTACGGCAATATTTGATATAATTCATCCTTCAACCAAAAAAAGATATTTGGTATTATTCATCCTTCAACCAACCAAAAGACGATAGAAGTATGTACATAATAGTATTCTATTATTGTTCTCTGAATCGCAGACTTTGGTTGCTAGGAAAAACAATAATGACATTATATTATAGTTCTAATAGGTATTGGTGGTGTATAAATTTATCTAATAGGTGTGACTTAGTGAATAAACTTATAAAACATACATTTTTATACACAGATTTATTTGACGTGTGTGAACTAAAACCAAAATGACATGGCAAGACCAATTTTATTAATCTGGACGTATTTGACGTGAATTGCACACCTGAAGTGGGTATGAGATATGCTATATTTGTAAACTTGCTTTTGCTTTACCCATCTTTTTTCCACCCTTGCATCGTACTCAATTATTTTTCTTTCTTTCTTTGTGCAATCACATATTCACATGTCTTATTATACCTTGTATTAAACATATCCTATATATACCTATACAATTCATCCCCACTAAGTTATTTTCCTGCTTCCTGGTGCACCACGTCACTTTCAAAAGGAGAGCCGTCAGATCAGTTTTCCTTCCATCTGCATGTTGTCCCCTGAGATTCCTGCTGCCATTGTCGTTCGACCTCCTCCTCAGCAGTTCCTTCACTTCCTTGACGTTCTTTCTCCTTTGTAATGACCGACTTATCTTCTACTGGCTTTCCATCTTATTGAGTCTGTTCATTTCTCACCTTAATTCTATACAAGACCCTCTAAAGTCTGAACAAAGCAATATCGGGCATTCTCGCTGTCTCATGGCAACTACATTGACCAGTTCTTTCACCTTGCAAGTGAACTCCTTGCCCATTATTCCAGCAAGTCCGATTTGGAAGTCATTGGAAACAAAACAAGGTTCCACCGATTTATCTTGCTCGATATTAGTGCTTAAATTGGCCTTAAGTTTTATTGTTTCAGCTCATGCCTTTTCTCCGTGCTATTCTGACTCCATGGGCAAGATTTACTATGTGCCTCACTATGTGGGAACTCTATCATGTGATGTATCTGTATTTATGTTCTGTTTATGCTCTATAGGGTTTTGATCTATTTCGTGTATTGAAAAATATTTCACTTGCCCATTTTTAATCCTCCCTATTGTTTTTCTTTGGATGGTGCCTAATAAATCATGGTAGCATATCTTAATTTCTGGGCGTATTATCATTTTAATTAGTTCCAATCAAAGGTTGTTGCAAATAGAAACCCAGACTTCATCTGAAGATTCGTTGCTAAGCTGTTATAGAACGGAGCAACTGAAAACGAAGAATTAAAATGGTTGTTCCAGGTAGTTCATCTTTTAACCTCGCAGGTACTTCGTACCTCATATACATTACTTTTGTTTGGTTTCTAAGCCCCCAGTGCATTTGTTGCCGGAATCACAGAAAGCTGATTTCTAAGTTCGTAAAAGCACTGGGGTCTTCCACTCATCCTAGGAATATATAAAATCTAGAATTTCAAGGTTCAGCTTCCTGTTTTTTCTGTGCATAACACAATTAATTCATTCTTTCGAGTATTACCTGCATTGACATTTGTGTTGTACTGAAAATGCAGATTTCGTTTTGTTCGCATGCATGCTCATTGTTGCTGTGAACAGAGTAGACTATTAAATGGAAAATGGAACACACTCACTTGGCCAGTAGCTACAAACAAGTTAATCGATGTTCAATTTTTTCTATCCTCAATCATGATGCATTGATTGGTGGAGAAAACTAATTAGAGCAAGTTTAATAGTATAGGTCACTACCGGCTCCAATTCATTTATAATCAATCTAATAGCCAATTCATATAATAGCCGCTTACTATACTATTAATATATGGTCCCACATGTCATACACACATCGTGTTTGGGAGTCCGTGCTGCAGCTGGCTACAGATCTGTAGCCCGTATGCTCTTCTCTCTTATCGTTTATCTTATTAAAATATGTTTATAGCTAGCTAATAGTCTATACCTGCTCTTAGCTAGCTTCAGTAGTCAACGTAGAAACGGTTGGACTTTTACATAGCACAACTGAAGCTACTATCCCTATAAGTAACGAAATGTATATGCTATGGCTCTTTGCATGTTATACCCATATGTGATCAAGTACTTCTATCATAGTATTTCACATCGCATTTTCATTACCATGAGCGGTTAACAAGAGTGTTCCTTAGCTAAATCAGTTCTTCAATAATCATTACTTGCGTTCTCTTTTCAGTATGTAGTGTTTCTGGAAGACTATATATAACTTACAACTTCCATGCAAATGTACTAATCACTGAAAGTTATTCAAATATCCCGCTGCAACGCGTGGGGTATTATCTAGTATATATATGTTTACGTGACATCCTTCTCACCTATATGGCTCCCGACCCTTCGTCTTCTCCATCCGAAGCCCTCCACTCCCGACCTTTCGTCTTCTCCAGTGCCTTGTCGTTGCCCGAGCAGGCCGCGAGGAAGGAGGCGGCGGGGCTTCCTCGGCGGGGGCCTGGCTCCCTATTGAATGGAGGGGGGGGGGGGGGGGGCGTTGGGGCTAGGGTTCTCGCCCTTGTTTTGGCGGCGTAGGAGGCGGCCGAAAGCTGGGAGAGGCAGAGGCGTTGCGGTGGCGACCAAGCCCACGTCTAGCTGCGCGACCTAGTGTCAGCAGTGGAGGTGGTTGGGAGGGCGGCGGGTAGCGACTAGGTGTCGTCGGCGGCATCCCTTCGGGCAGAGGATGGCGGCGGCCTAAGCATCGTCGGCGTATCCTTGGCAAGGACATGGCAGGATTTGGTGAAGGTGGTCTTGTTCGCAGCGGTGACTAGCAGCAATGGCTTATAAGTCCGGCGGAAGACTTCTCTAGTGGCGGCAGTGGCAACCCTAGGGGCAGAGGCGGCCCGAGACGGCGGTGGCTTGAGTGCTGGTGCAAGGTTCAAGGTGAGGAGAAGGCGGATCCCCTCGGCGGCGGCGGACCTAGGAGCGGCAGATGCCTGGGAATTCGGGTGAAAGAGGATTTCCTCGACTGTGACTGCAGAGGACTCTGGCGGAGCTGACGGCCCTAGGGGCGGTGGTGAGCTAGGAGTCCAGGAGGGGCAAGAAGATCCTGAAGATGACAGCGGCTCTAGGGGCGGCAAAGGTCTAGGAATCCACGAAGCGAGTGGAAGTGGATCTTGTTAGCTCATGTTTGGTCGGCTAGTTCTTGCTGAACATCGACGGATGAAGGTGGGCTAAACCGGCGACGTGTGGCATCAACTCATTTGAAGCGCTTGGAGATGGCATCATTGGAGGCTCGCCACGATGAAGCACTAAGGGCGGCGGTGACTAGACGAATTCCACTTGCCGAATCTCGATGTTTCAGGATAGAATGCCAGGAAGCAATGATGTGCCGAGGTCGTTTGTTTTTCTTTTGGTTTTGTGCTCTCCTCTTTTTAAGGCGTGAGTCTAAGTCCTCTTGTATCTTTTTGGCTGTGTATCCTTTGTGGATACATAGGCCGGATTAATGAAAATCCATTATTAAAAAAACAAATCCTTCTCACCTATATGTTTATTACATAGCATCCTAATTAACACTTAAATCAGTAAGATCACCCATTCCGCCATTTGTGTCCTTTTAACCTTTGTTTGCACGCATAAGAAATATTGTGTACCAAAACAAGCGTTTCGCAAGTTTATGCACTAGATAACACCCATTGAAAAAGTTTATATACTACCAATGCAATTTTTTTTCTGTTGTTACTGATAAAACATCCGTCCATACACCGTCACAACAGTTGAATATATACTTCGTACTGTTCATCGACTACTTTATGATATAGCATAAAAGACACTAAGCATGATATTTATGAACGGCGTCTAGTCGAAGCCTACATCCTTGAAACACTGATAATCGCTTTTTCTTAATTCATATGATTACAATATATTAGAGTTATAACTATCCTCGATGAAACCACTTGATCAGTAGTTTCCTCTCGTTATTATTAAGTGGCCATGCGCAAATTCTATTAATCCGAATCCGTCACTCCCTAGGCAGTGTTTGGCTAATAGGAATAGGAAATAATTTTTCACCTACTAAAAGACATCGTTAAGTTCTAACCATTCATTCCCTCTTTTCTATTTAATCCTAACCCTTCGTTTATTTTCTAATCTCAATCCTACTTCTATTTTCTATTATCCTAACACACCCTAGACCGGTCCTTTCCTCATTAATAGCTGAATTAACCGAGACGGAATACTAACACACACAGTTTGCGAGGGAATTCTTACCTGGGCTGGCCCAAAACCACCCATCGCCTATCCTAAACGGCTAAACCCCCACGGCCACCGGATAACACAGCCACCCTCCCTCAACCCGAAAAGCTGCCGTCGCCTCGTCTCGTCGCCCCGAAGCACCACACCACAACCACAACACACCACAGCGGGTAGGCCGAGAGCGCGAATGGCGTCCCTGGCGCAGCACGTCGCGGGGCTGGCGAGCCCGCCGCTCTCCGGCGCGCCGCGGCGCCGCCCCGCGGCGCCCACGCGGCCGTCGGCGCTGGTGTGCGGGACGTACGCGCTCACCAAGGAGGAGCGGGAGCGGGAGCGGATGTGCCAGCTGTTCGACGAGGCCTCCGAGCGCTGCCGCACCGCGCCCATGGAGGGCGTCTCCTTCTCGCCCGAGGACCTCGACTCCGCCGTCGAGTCCACCGACATCGACACCGATATCGGCTCACTCGTAATCCACCCCCCGCAACCTTCCTCCTGTTCTTCTCAATCGTCCTTGCTCGCTCGTATGATGTGAAACAGATAGTAGCAATTGGTGCTTAAAAACAGGCTTAACTTTCAGTAGGTGATGCCTCGTTTTCCTGCAAGTCACTTGAGTCTTACCTTGTGCTCAATTGGATACGGCTTGCGGGAGATTGGAGTCACTTGCCCTGTATATGTCACTAGTTGTTACATTTCGGTTTGCTAGTTGTTTTAGGCTATCAACAACAAGGTGATTGGTTACTGAAAGTTACCCAACTAGAATTCTATTGTTTGCTTGCTTGGAATGTGCTCTGCGCATCATGATTCGTCTATAATGTGTTACTCCCCTAAGGTACAAGCGAAAGAATGTTCAGTTTACTACAAGTACCTCTTCCATTTTCTGACCTGCTCATAGTGGTAGCAGGTATAGTGATAATCAGGAATAGTAGTTTCATTAGCCCTTACCTGTTATGTTTTGCCTTTTGTGAAACTAGTTGAACGCTAGAACTCACGCAATTGTGTGGCTTCATCTAAATAATTTAGTTGTTTTTTCAATAATGTTTACTAAAAAAATATATATGTAGGTCTGATACTTCAAATAAGAGCAATACATGGCCATATCATATTCCTCTATAGGCTGGAGATTTATACGATAGCTATGTATTCAGTGTAAGCTAGAGTAGTTCATATTAATTTGATGTACTTTAAATTAAGCTTGACTTTTGATTCAATTCTGGTGAATTAGACTTGAACGGCGAATTCCCTTTTTTACCTCCTTGGGGATGATACCTTATTGGAGGCTTGGAGCAAGAGTTTGATCTACCAAAAGCGTGTGGTTTTTATTTGTGTTTGCTACATCCTCTCTTTGATTGCTTCCGCACGTGTACCAAGTTATACGAACATCATACATATGCCTACCTCACCCTCATGGCCTCACACCGGTCACCAATCCATCAGGGCATAGATATTTCTTTGAAGCATGAATATGCATAAGGTCCAAAGCACATGTAGGATGTTCATGTACATGTAATTTCCATCAAAAAGGGGTTTCCCCTTCAAAAGATAGAAATGTCCTTGAAATGTCATACAGGTGGGGTCTGTTTTTCTTCTTTATATAGTTATTTTCTCCTTTTTTTTAAAAAAAAAACAAAGCCAAATTCACATTAAATGATAGTTAAAGTAAGCTGGAGTTGATCCATTGATCCATTCCCTGTAGTAACTAGCTGACCATGGTAACCCCAAACTCGATGAGATTTCAGTTACTGACCGATTGCTGCTTGTCTTGACTGTAATTATTTATGTCTATTTAAATAAGAATTGCTTACTATTTATCAACCAATATTATACTCAATAATCAGCTATACATCTCTTATACGTTACAAATGCACATGGACACAAAAACTCATTTTGTCCAGCTGCCAGATTTGCATTGATCCTTAGAATTTTGCTCTGTTAGCAATGATTCTGCTGTTAGTATCTCCTTTTGGGCATGCAGTACTGTTATCTTTGCTGCAATATTTTGTGCTATGTTGGTATTATAAGATACTGTTCATATTGCAAATTTTGTATAGTTTCTCATATATTGTATTATTCTATCCTTTTTTTTTGAAACGATGTATTACTCTATCCTTAACATCTAAAAACTATCATGTTCTTGCAATCTCTACAGATTAAAGGAACAGTGTTCATGACCACTTCAAATGGTGCATATGTTGATATCCAATCGAAGTCTACTGCTTTCTTGCCTTTGGATGAGGCATGCCTTCTCGATGTCAACCATATAGAAGAGGCAGGGATCCGTGCAGGTTTGGTAGAAGAGTTCATGATTATTGACGAGAATCCTGGTGATGAAACTTTGATTTTGAGCTTACAAGCAATTCAGCAAGACCTTGCCTGGGAAAGGTGCAGACAGCTTCAAGCAGAAGATGTTGTTGTCACGGGTAAAGTGAGTAAAAATACTTGCAGAAGGAAATATTTCTGTGCTATTACTATTGTTCTTCACTACTCCTTTAATAGCTTGCTGTTGTTAAACTTGTAACCAAATGTTTGTTAAGCACTACTTCTTCTTGCCCACCGTTTCGGTTCTAACAATCAGGCTTTGTCCTTGAATCTATCCCTCACAGCAGCAGCCATTGTCCTTTAATGAAAAGAAATTATTCAAGTGGTAATTTATGGTGTACATACTTTATGACATCCAACCCATGATTTCATAATTTCTATATTTGTGCTGCTGTTTACTTGGTAGAGCTTACTGATCAGGTACTGAGATCGTCTATAGATGCGACAATGACCAGAAATTTTTTGTTTTTATTGGACTATTGTGATTTTGTTGGTTTGTTCCTGTGCAACTAGCAATGAACTCCTGAAGTCTAGACCAGTCACTTTGTAACAACATATCAAAAAATCCTTTTGCAAGAGCTTATATGATTGTATGCTTAGTTTTATTGGGATGAATTTGCTGTAATGTATTAGTCTGCGGTTACCTGACTTGTTCATTTGGCAATGTTGCCCCGCAGGTAATTGGTGGAAACAAAGGAGGTGTGGTAGCTCTTGTGGAGGGCCTTAAGGGATTTGTTCCATTTTCACAAGTGTCATCGGTTGGTTCTCAATCTTATTAGTTACTACAAAACTTTCTTGCATCCTATGGTTTTAGGTGTATGTGCATGTGCATGGCATGAGCTGCCTTTCATCTGCAGGTCAAAGTTGTTATGCAGATAACTGAACATTTGATCCTAGTTTCCAATGCTTAGTTCTCAATCACATTGTAAACACTAGCTGCCCACTATTTTACAAACCACTTCTTGACCTTGATCAGAAATCAACTGCTGAAGAACTGCTTGACAAAGAACTACCTCTGAAGTTTGTGGAGGTCGATGAGGAACAAGGCAGGCTTGTCCTCAGTAACCGCAAGGCAATGGCAGATAGTCAAGCTCAGCTTGGTATTGGTTCAGTTGTCTTGGGAACTGTCGAGAGCCTGAAACCTTATGGTGCATTTATCGACATTGGTGGAATCAATGGCCTTCTCCATGTCAGCCAGATTAGTCATGACCGTGTTGCGGACATCTCGACAGTTCTGCAACCAGGAGATACGCTCAAGGTATTTTTTGCATTCGTACTTGAGAAAAGTATACTATCTAAAGTTTATAGAGCTAAGGCCAGAGTATTTTTTTTAAATGCTATTAGGTTATGATTCTAAGCCATGACCGTGAAAGAGGCCGTGTTAGTCTTTCTACTAAAAAGCTTGAGCCGACACCTGGTGACATGATTCGCAATCCAAAGCTTGTTTTTGAGAAGGTAAGTTTGAAAGCAATATTCCTTGATCTGGTCCATCTGGAATGTATACAAACTGACATACTGTTTTCTCTGTCTCAAAACAGGCTGATGAGATGGCTCAGATATTCAGGCAGAGGATAGCTCAAGCAGAGGCAATGGCTCGTGCTGATATGTTAAGATTCCAGCCTGAGGTACTGCCATCATCATTTTATTGAGGCTGCAAAATGAAATTTATCTGACATTATTCATAAGCCACTGCAGTAACATTTGGCTGAATTAAATTGTTTCTCCCTGTATCTCTTCACAGAGTGGATTAACTCTCAGTTCAGAGGGCATCTTAGGGCCATTATCATCAGACACACCTTCTGAGGGCTCGGGAGAAGGGCAAACCACAGATGAATAGCTTCAATAGGAAGATTACGTCTGAGTAGAAAGCTGTGATGGTAGCTCATCAACTCATTTTCCCACGATCTAAAAGGCATGAAGAAGACCTATTGTATTCCAACCATTTCCCATCTTCGATCTGTGCTTGTATCAATCAATGTGTATGAAAGTAAAGTTACTGAAAGAAATGGATGTTGCTTCCCTGTTGTAAAGTTGTCCAACACTTGCAGAAAGGCCTCCCAAAGGCCCAATTGTAGTTGGACTTTCAGTTCAGCATCTCTATTTCCTGCACTATAGCCTTTTCTGGATTAGGCGTCTATTTCTGCTCAAAATGGAGAGCAAACAGTGGAGAGATTTGCAACGTAGACCAGTTTTCGGGTAGGTAACCTGTGTAAAGTTCAAACAGCAAGTAGTTCACGGAAGCCATCAACACAAGCCAAGTTTGCCTGCTACGCCTGGTTGTAGAAGACGGTCTGGTGTTAATCCCTACAGGTGAAAAAGGGATAGGAGACTTGTTTTAGTTGGCTACAATCCCAGCAGCACGTTGTCATCCCAGGTGTCCACAAAAGGGCAATGCTGTTTCACCAAAGAGAGGACCATAAATTAAAGCAAAGAGAGAACCAAACTCGATCGCTTTTGTAACTTCGCAGGTTGACATTGGATAAACCCTTCCTTTTCATGGCACAGGAACAGAAACTATTTAAAACCGCTTAAAAACCGTTTGCTTGTGTGTGCAAACCCTCGCCCTTTAATTTGTTCAAACATATCAAGCTGCCAAACCTGACAAGTTTCACTGAAAGCGCCATCCACTATTTTCACTCTCACGTACCAAACATCAAATTGTTTTTTCTTCTCCTCACAGCAGCAGCATAGCTATCTATCAAGCCGGCCAGCCACACAGAAAATGCATGTCAACTCTGCTTAACCATCCGCTTTCTCAAAAAAGGGATTTGACGTACGTCTTCGCCTCCATGCTCAGTAGTACTGATCTATCCGGTTTGATCAACTTGGGTACGGTGTGTGTCATACCGTCATTGTGTCAATTACGCTCAATCACGCGTCCTGAACCAAACCAAACCAGGAGAGCTACCAAACTCTGAAACAGATAGCAGCAAGCTGAACTTTTTATGTTTTGGCTCTTTTTTAAAACTTATTTTACATACGGCCCTATGAGAAACTTATTTTAGAAATTAATCCTTTTTTGACGCCAGTGGTCCAATGCCTCGACACCAATGACGCTGGTGTCAACACCCTCGCCCCCTATAGCCAAGATATAGGGGATAACACTAATCTCTTTAGTGTTGTGAACCTATTTGTACAATGATCTTTTAAAATGGTCAAAACATAAATACTTTTATTATAATTAGGTTCTCGACGTAAAAAAGCTAGTACAGAGAGACTATAAAAATATTTACATTTGAACCTTTTTGAAAACTTTTTTTACAAATAAGTCCTCGGTTCCAACACCCATCACATTAGCGACTTAGATATCCAGAGAGCTAGGGTATCGGTGCTAAGATATTGGACCTTGATGTTGAGAAAACAGGATCCATTTTTAAAATAAGTTTTGTCGTAGGGAAATAAATTTTCAAAAAACCAAAACATAAAAAAAAAATCCAGTAGCAGCAAGCATGGATGAGCTAGCCGCTGCTGGTGGTGTCAGTCACTTTCCCAAGGCGCGTTTTTTCTAAGCCCTTGTCTCCACTGCAGATTAATCAATCCAGTTTTGAGCTCTCTGATTCTGATCAAGTGCTTTCCCCCCGGTAATGGCATCTTCAGGTGGACCTACTGTTCACGCACGCTCGCTCTCACGTCGTCGGTCCGTCCGTCGCCCGCCGACGCGTCGTCGATCGACCGATCAGTCGTACGTCTCCGCCGCCCCCCCCCCCCCCCCCCGGCGCGCATCCGCCGGCCCGTGCGTGAGTGGGGGTTGGAATTCAGGATAAGCCACGTACCACCTTCTCTCGCCTGCAACTTGCCGCGCAAGATGAGGCCGATCGACGGCGACGGCGACGAGATCATGCAGGCAGCAACGGAGAGACGAGGCCGGCCCGGGGCTTTCTCCGTGCGTGGCAATGTCGTCGTGTGGATCGTAGTAGCTGTCAGCTCAAAGCCGCCGTGCAAGTGTGTACTTGCCTGGCCGTGTCGATCAGTCACAAAGCTAAGCTATTGGCTCGGCCCTGTGCATCCCCAGGGGTCACTACTCACTAGCGATGGCTAATTGGCTTGGCTTTGGCTGGTGTTTAGTTTGACCACGCACAGTGTAGCTATAGTTTAGCTTAGCTTAGCTAGGCCACTGCTCTGCTTGCCTGCATGATAGCCTGCTCGATAATTAGCATTAGACAAACGGTGAGTACGTTGATCATCCAGGAACCGAAGAGGGATTAGGTCCCATTGCACAACATACGCATACAGAGAACGATACGGGTCATACAGTCTATGCAAGTAATCAGCCGCAGACTTTTTTACTCCTCAGAAAACAATAAAAAAGAAAGGCACACACTTTTCAGTTGCTATTTGATCACTTTCTTCTCACCAATCTTATACTCCCTCCGTTTCAAAATGTTTAACACCGTTAATTTTTTGATTTTTTAAGTATGTGTTTAACCATTCGTCTTATTAAAAATTTTAAGTAATTATTTATTTTTTTCATATCATTTGTTTCATTGTTAAATATGTTTTCATGTACACATATAGTTTTACATATTTCACAAATTTTTTTAATAAGACGAACGACATGTGCTAAAAAGTCAACGGTATCAAACATTTTGAAACGGAGAGAGTATTGTTTTTCCTCTCTCCATTTCAGCATGCACGCTAATGCTAGCTAGCTAGCTTGCCTGCTGCGTAAGTAGATCGTCGATCAGGAGTTCAAAAAGGCAAAGGCTGCAGGATTTGGGGACGCAGGAGTCAGTCCAGCTGCCGAATTGTACAGCACAGCGTGCACCTAGACAATTAGGAGTACTAATCCAGTACCAGTACGTGTTCGTGTCGAGAGGGAGGCGCCGACGTACGAGTCGTCGATCGACCTGCAAGAATTTCTTTCCGGGGGAAAATTTTGTGTCACACTTTTGAACTCGAATGTCAAACAGCGAGCGCACGCTACAGACAGCGAGGCCCGGGCCCGACGGATGGACGGGTCGCCGTCGAAGGCGTCCATGGCTTTCTGCCCCCACTAACAGGTACAGATCAGTACAGGTGCAGAGGCGTACATATATGCGCGAATATACGGTAACACATTTCGCCCCGAGATGAGCACCACGATCGAGGCCGGACAGCCGGTCAATTCGTCTCTCGGTATTTCTGGCCGTATCAATATGCGGTGATATAGTGCCGTTCTCCTCCAGTCCTGTCCACAGATATAAGGGTTTATATTTTTTTATAAAATTTCAGAAAATAGTAAAATAATAAATATGATGGTTAGAAGAATAAAGTAGTAAAAAATGATAGATGAAAAAATAAACCAGTATAAAAGATAGTGAGTGGGGAATAAACTAGTAAAAAATGGTTGATAAGGTATAAAGTATTGTCTCAAAATTATAAAATCTTTTATATTATACGATAAATTTGAAGGGTATAATTCTTTATATTTCAAGACGGAGGAAACAAGTAGACGCCATGTCATCTTTTCGGTTATAGATATTTAATGTTTATGATAAGATCTGATCAGGATTTTAAAACATTAACAAGAGTATATATGCAGGCGAACTCGGTACAGAAATAGAAATTCTGAACGTCCTCAAAAAAGAGTTTAACCGCTTCTTTTAAACTTAGTTGCTAGACTTAGCTATCATAATCTGAAGCAAAAACGGGCCGGGGTATCCGTATTCTGCAAACCATTTCCGGTGAGCTAGTGTGATGAGATCGATGACGATCAAATTGAAACAGCAAGCACGTACGTCGAGAGCACCAACAATGCCGCCATGTTGCTCCTTTCTATCTAACCCGATCGCGTTGACCTCCGTCCGAGATCGAGTTGAGTCGTCCCCAGCGCGAGCGCGAGGCGCGCGCGCGCAGCAACCAATCCGTGGCTTTCCCGATCAGCACGCACGATCTCGATCGCGCCACGCGCCACCATGCACCGCGCGCGCGCACGGGCCACCACACGGCCGGATCGTACGTTGATCGTGAGAGCTGCGGGCGTACGTACGATCGATCGATGGGCGCCGCGCCGCGCCGCGCGGCGCAACACGGGCGCGCGACGAAAGTTCAGTGTACGTTGGGTCGTCGTCGTCGATCGACGAGATGGATTGGCTCGCCTCGTCGTGGGCGATCCGCGCCAAAAAGATTCGATCGATCGGCGAGCGAACCCGGCAGCTTAATTAGCGCTAGCCAAGCGCGCGTTACTACCCCAGCTGCTAGTTAGTGCTCGCGCGCCTCGCACTATAGTGCATGGCGCACGAGAGTGACACGAGCAAAACGGAGGAGGACACGGTGCCCTGCCCGTCGTCCGTGCCGTGCTTGCTTGCTTGCGTACGTGGGTGCGTGCACCCGCGCACTGATGCATGATCGCTCGCCACCATTCTCGTTGCGTGCGTGCGTACGAGCATGCGTCCAAATTAAACGGCTTATAGCCATAGACCAATAGTTCGTATACTAGCAGCTAGCTAGCTAGCTACTCGCCTAGCTATATCCAACATAGCAGTAGCTAGTCTTTGACAGCTCCAGGCACGGCTTGCATGATGATCCGACTCCGAGACGACACAGTGCGTGATCATGGACGGAGACGGCTTAGTGGTGGTGCAGCAAGATATGGGCAGGAACGATGGACAGGGCGAGGTGCCCCTGCCACTTTTCTGCCCCCGGAAAGCGCTGCGAGTGACGCCTAAGTGCACTGCTCCACGACGCGGCCATGCCCAGCGCCCAGCCCAGCTAGCCGGTGCCGGAGCCCCAAGCCGTCACGCCTCGCTCTGGCACAAAAGGCCTATAGCCACACACGCCTAGCTAGCTGCTACTCGCCTAGCGCGTGGCGCGACAGCGGCGAGCACGACACGCGCGCGCGCGTCCTGTCCGAGTGGGACGGATGGCTAAGTCCGCGCGCGGCCGGATCCGTCTCGGATCAGCGCTGTCCATGGCGATGCCTGCGTCGGCCGGGCACACGCAGCCGCGCCCAATGGTGCTACGCACCATTGCCTCCCTTTCCTCTCTCCCTGCATGCACGCATTATTGTTCGTTCCTTCCCCCCTTTCTACTTCTTCTCGCACACTGCTTCTTAATGTGGATTGATCATATGTATCGATCGATCGATCCATCAGTGGCTTCAGCTCGATCGCCAT